AAGAAAGAAAGAAAGAAAGAAAGAAAGAAAGAAAGAAAGAAAGAAAGAAAGAGAAAGAAGGAAGAAAGGAAGGAAGGAAGGAAGGAAGGAAGGAAGGAAGGAAGGAAGGAAGGAAGGAAGGAAGAAAAGAAAACTGACTCTCCCTCCCACGGAAACCACCAACTACCTATACTTCTCAGTTAGGGGTGGGAGGTTCATGAGCCCCTCCCATTTTGTGCTGGAATTTGACAGCCTTGGTCTTGTACAGGTTGTGTGCAGACACCCACAGCTGCTGGGAGTTCATGAGGGCAGAGGTCCTGTCATGTCCAGAGGACACTGTTCTAGCTCTGGTCCTCCTCTACCTTTGGCCCTTATGGTCCTTGGGCAATTTGACCAGTTGTGAGTGCCACCATCCACTGCACAAAGGAACTTCTCTGATGAGGCCTAAGAACTACACTAATCTATGGGTAGAGAGATGGATAAGTTTATAGGGCAGTTTGCTACTATGTCCATTTAGCAAAATAATAGCAGTATGTTGTGGAATATTATTTTAACTAGGTAAAGATGGGTTACATTGGTTGATGCTGAGGACTATTACTTTAACTGTGTAAAGGTGTGTTGCATTTGTTTCTGCTGCCTTTGTTAATGATGTAAAGATGTGTTACATTTGTTTATGCTGCATGGGTTTAATCTTGTAAAGATGTGTTGCTCATTCACCTTGCCTGCCTAAGGCACCTGCTTGGTCTAATAAAAAGCTGAACGGCCAATAGCGAGGCAGGAGGGGGCTATGCAGAGCTGGAGGACAGAGAAAATAAGTAGGAGGAGACATTTAGGCTGGAGAGAAGGAGGAGAGGATGAGGATATGCCCACTTGGGGTCAGAAGCCAGGCAGCCACCAGCCAGCCACGGAGAAGCAGTAAAAGTAAGATATACAGAAGGAAAGAAAGGTAAAATGCCCCGAGGCAAAATGTAGACAAACAGGTTAAGTTATAAGAGCCAGCAAGAAACGAGCATAAGATAAGGCTGAGCATTCATAACTAATAGTAAGTCTCCGTGTCATGTTTTGAGAGCTGGTTGGTGACCCAAAAGAAAGCCTGCTACAGTAATAGGTTCACACCTGGGGCCTGTGAGTTCCCAACCAGGGGTTCTTGGCCATATTTGCAGTGCTAGACATGGGTTTCCTGTGTCTCCTCTTTTAGAAATGCTTTCCTGCTCGCCCCCAAAAGGAACTGGGTGGGGTGGTGCACACGCGCAGTGCCAGCACTTGAGAGATGAAGACAAGAAGATCAGTGACCCATCAGGAGTCCAAGGTCATCCCCTGCTACACCGCAAATTCAAGGCCAGCCTGGGCTACCTGTGTAAGACCCTGCCTCAAAAGCACACGGAAAAGAAATGCTTTCCTGCCGCCCAGTACAATCGGAATCCCCTTATTTCCTGTAGTTAGCTTTTAGGAAAATCTGTCATGTTTGTGTTTGGTAAAAAGCTCAGACCCAGTTTCACTTAGTGACCAGTTTCTGTGTCTCTGAGGACTGGCTTGATGGATGACGGCACCTTTTTATATACGGTGTTGCCCTGCCTTCACGGGCTTTCCTTTTTTTTTTTTTTTTTTTTAATTTTTTTTAAAGATTTATTTATTTATTATGTATACAATGTTCTGTCTGTACATATCCCTGCAGGCCAGGAGAGGGCACCAGATCTCATTACAGATGGTTGTGAGCCACCATGTGGTTGCTGGGAATTGAACTCAGGGACCTTTGGAAGAACAACCAGTGTTCTTAACCTCTGGGCCATCTCTCCAGCCCCATGGGCTTTCCTTTGATCTATTTATTATGTTTTATTAGCTCACTTATTTGTTTTGCATGCTGAAGCTACTAACCACAACAGTTTTGTACGATGCCTTAATTTCTCATAAAATCCTGTTTCCCCCCAAACTGACTTAGCAGTCCATTGACTTTAAAACATATTTAAAATATTTCATGGCTGCAGGTATGTTGTCCACCATGTTCTTTCAGTGCCCAAGGAGGCAGAAGAGGGCATCAGGTGTCCCGGAACAGGAGTTACAGATGGTTGTGAGCTGCCATGTGGGTGCTGGGAATCAAACTCAGGTCCTCTGCAAGAGCAGGCAGTGCTCTTAACCACTGAGCCATCTCACCCACCCCAGTCCATTAATTTTTTAATGCCTCATGTAAATTTCAGAATTTCAGGTTGATTTCAACAAAAATCCATGTACACATTTGATTATTGCATGATATTATATTTTAGATTAATTACAGTTTTCAAGTTTTACAATCTTTTTCTGTTGGAGGGAGAGGGTGCTTGGGTTTGAACCCAGGGCTTTGTGTGTGCTAATCACAGACTTTACCCCCTGAGCTAAGACCACCCCCCCAGTCCCTGCCTTTACAATCTCCAGCTCTCCATCCACAACCACATAATACCGGTCTGGTGACATCTCTGTGTCCTCTGTAAGAATGTCTTCTTTTTCCATAGCCTTTATCACCACGTGGGATCCTTGCTCATTGTTTCTTTACCTGTTAATTGGCTTTCTCTTCCTATCTCTTTGCCACAGAGACAATCAGAGACCCCTCTGCTACCCTCCTTACATCTCCTGTGCCTGGGTGTTAGCTGAGCCTGCTTTACTGACTAGAAAAAAAACCCTGAAGTTCAGAAAAATGGAACTCCCTATGCTCCACAGGTTAGTCAGCCACAGGGCCATGATGAGGAAGAGGAGGGAAGTGAGGTAAAATGTACTGGGCCAGGTGGTGGGGGACACGACACAGCCCTTAGCATTTATCCCTGTCTGCAAACAGGAGACTCTGAACGACTAAGCAGGGACCAGGGGACAGGGAAGAGATTTCGGGGCTTGTTGTAGATTATTTTAAGCTGTGTTACTTTTCTTTATGCTGCATTTGTTTAACTCTGTGAAGCTGTGTTACTGTGCCTGTCTAAAACACCTGATGGTCTAATAAAGAACTGAACGGTCAATAGCAAGGCAGGAGAAAGGGTAGACAGGGCTGGCAGGCAGAGAGACGATATAGAGGGAGAAATCTGGGAGAAAGCAGAAGAAAGAAGGAGCCAGAGAAGGAGCAGGACTCCAGGGGCCAGCCACCCAGCTACACAGCAAGCCACAGAGTAAGAGTAAGATTTACAGAAGTAAGAGAATGGGAAAAGCCCAGAGGCAAAAGTAGACCGGGTAAGTTAAGTCAAGCTAAGGCCAGGCATTCATAAGTAATAATAAGCCTCAGTGTGTGGGTTTATTTGGGAGCTGGTTGGCAGGCCCCCTAAAAAGAGCAAACTCAACAACAAGGGGTCCCCAGCACACCCTAGAAAGTGGAGTCAGAGGCAGAGGAGCAACAGGAAATGACAGGGGACTCACCTGCACAAACGCCGTCTCCATCAGAATTCAAAGTGGGCTTTGTGGTCCCAGACAGGGAACTGAACTTCAGCAGAACTGGGGGAGTCAGAGACTTCCCCAGGAAAAGGTGAGCACAAGCTGAGGACGGAGGTGGAGCTCAGAAATGAGGCTATGGGGAGAGAAGATTTGAGGGAACAGCAGGGCTGCTGTTGTTGACAACCCTGGACACAGTGATGCCAAAGGGTCTTCACTGCATAGTCTTGTTCTGTCACGATGTTGCATCTTTCCTTGTAGTGCACAGAATGGGTGAATCCCGCCCTTAGTGGTGTTATTTGCTCTGGGGATAGGGAACTGCAGGTGTCCTTTGGAGGGTTCGATGTGCTACCCACTTAAAACAACTCATGGCATTATACTTTTCATTTGTTTTGTTTTCTTCAAAGACAAGCTTTCTCTGTGTAACAGCCCTGGCTGTCCTGGATCTCACTCTGTAGACCAGGCTGGCCTGGAACTCACAGAGATCCACCTGCCTCTGCCTCCTGAGTGCTGGGTTAAGAGGGCATTGTACTTTTTAAGACTAAGGACACAGAGAAGTATCAAGGACTTTGGAAACAAAATGTGCTTTTGCTTCTGAGGAATGGCACTGTTTTCTTTTCTGAGAAAGGCCCTCTATGAAATCCCCCAAACAGCAGCTCCTCATTGCTAATGTTCTTCACCATAATAACCATGATAACCGAGTCGCCGGGATACCATGTCATTTCTGATTCCTGGTGCTTCCTTTAGCTGGCTCACACTGGTTTGGCTATCTGGTTGTCTTTTATTGTTGTCCCAAGCACTGTGCAGGACCCCAGAGGGCTCGACAACTAAACAGTATGTTTGGGGAGGTGTGCATCCTACAGTGTGTTCCATGCATTCAGGACATAGTTTTGGAATACCTGACTTGCAGAGGCCCTGTGGTAAGCTTTCCATGCTGTGGGATAGGTACCCTTGTTGGGGGTGCTGGGGGCTCTGGAAACTCGGGGGAGGGCACTGGCTTGGGTTTGGCAAGCTAGGAAATCCTTCCCAACGGGAGCTATGTCTCATCTGAGCTTGACACAGGGTCACAAGGGAAATGTCCGTGGGGCAAGAAGGTAGAGTTGCGTGGCGTCGGTAGGGCCCTTCTTAGACGTAGAAGGGCCCTGTCTAAAGTACACTTCCACACAGATAATCCTACCTTCGATGCTTTCTGAAATGTGGCTCTGTAGTTAGAGACCTAAGTGCATGGGAGAAGTTCCCTTTTCTGTTTCGGGAACACGTGAGGGCCAGGGACAGCTTGTGGGAGTCAGGTCCCTCCTCCCATCACTGGGATCTCAGAGTCAAACTCGGGTTTTAGTCAGAAGTTCGGATTATTTCCTCAGCATGGATTTTTCAGCAGTAGCATTACTGGCCCTGAGGAAATAGACATTTTGAAGGCTGCTCACATTGGCATATTATTTTTCAGACAGCTCACATGGTTGCTCCTCAGCATCAAGTTACATTGCTAGAGGATGTATAAAAATCATGTCCCATTAACTTTTTACTTCCTTGGTGTTTTTGTTTTATAATGAGATGAGGTTTCATGTGGCACAGGCTGGCCTCATACTGCTGCATAGCTAAGGATGAACCCCTGATTTTCCTGCTTCCTCCACCTCTCAGGTGTTGGATTACAGGCATGTACCACCATTCCTACTTCATGTCTTTGATTAATAAAGTAGGCTGTTGTTCATGCAATTCTACTGAATGGCATCTCCTCCCCCTCCCCCTTTTTTATTTTTTTCATCTTCTGACAGAGTCACATACACACCAGGCTAGACTCAAACACACTATGTTGCCTGGACATCGATTCTCCTGCCCCAGCCCCTAGTCTCGGTCCCAGAAGTTGGGATTACAGATGTATGCCACAGTGCCTTGGCTTGGGGAAACCCTTGGAACAGAAAAAAAAAAAAAATCCCATAATAACTAAGACAAGTACTGAGTGATCAGCCTGAGTGTATCTACCTCAGTGTGACTCCTGGTACTAGAGGAAGGTGCCAAGGGGCAAGCACTGGCTAACCGATTCTACTTTCAAGGCATTGCTGGTGGTGATGAGGCCCTGCAAGGAACAGGAGAGGTAAGGGCTTAATGGGATCCAAGATGGCCACTTGGGTGTTGCAAGGCTATTGATGTTCAGCGAATGTCCTAATAGCTTGTCTATACATTTATTATTATTTTTAGACAAGATCTCATATATCCCGGGTTGGCCTAGAACTTAGCATGCATTGACCTTGAACTTGTGATCCTCCTGCCTCCACCTTCTGAGTGCTGGAATTGTGTGTGTCACCTGTCCAGTTTATGTAAGGCTCCATGCATGCTCAGCAAGCGCTCTACCAATGACCTACACCCCCAGCCAACACTTCACGTTCTCAGTCCATTAAAAGTGCTTTTTTCCAGGTGTGGTGACAGATGTTTGTAATTCTAGGTCTCAGTAGTTTAAGGCAGGGGACACAATTTGAGGCCAGCCTGGGCTACATCAGAAGATCCATGCCCCCCCATGTCTTAGTTAGGTTTATTATTGCTGTGATGAAACCACCATGACCAAAAACAACTTGGGGAGAAAAGGGTTTATTCAGCTCACACTTCCACATCACTGTTCACCATTAAGGAAGTCAGGACAGGAACTCAAGGCAGGAACCTGGAGGCAGGAGCAGATGCAGAGGCCATGGAGGGGTGCTGCTGACTGGCTTGCTCAGCATGACTTGCTCAGCCTGCTTTCTTATAGAACCCAGGACCATCATCCCCAGGTTAGCACCACCCACAATGGGCTGGGCTCTCCCTCATCAATCACTAATTAAGAAAGTTCCCTAGAGGCTTGCCTACAGCCCAGTTTTATGGAGGCATTTTCTTAATTGAGGTTCCCTCCTCTAAGATTACTCCGGCTTGTGTCAATTGACTTAAAAATAGCCAGCCTACACTTCAAGGAGAAAGGGTTTTCAACTGTATTATAATACTTTTTTCAAATAAAAAGTGATCATATAGAAAAGGAAACCAACACCCATAATCCCACACTGACCTTTAACCACTAGGATTGGCATATGGGTGTATATATTCCATGTTCTCACGCAGGGAATCAAAATCCATAAATATATATACATATATATTTGTCCTTTAAAAAACAAAATCATTCTAAGTGGGCGCTGGTGGCGCACGCCTTTAATCCCAGCACTCGGGAGGCAGAGGCAGGCAGATCGCTGTGAGTTTGAGGCCAGCCTGGGCTACCAAGTGAGTCCCAGGAAAGGCGCAAAGCTACACAAGAGAAACCCTGTCTCGAAAAACCAAACCAAACCAAACCAAAACAAACAAACAAAACCAAAATCATTCTATAAACTTGAAATTTTCAATCAACAATGTAATATAAAAGTGCTTTCAGGTGCTAGGCAGTGGTTGCACGCGCCTTTAATCCCAGCACTTGGGAGGCAGAGGCAGGTAGATCTCTATGAGTTCAAGGCCAGCCTGGTCTATAAAGTGAGTTCCAGGACAGCCTAGGCTGTTAAACAGAGAAATCCTGTCTCAAAAAACAAAACAAAACCAAAAATAAGTTTTTGGTTAAAATAGTCAAATGTTTTTAGTATTTTGTTGCATTCCATTGGAATAACAGGTCAGCTTTAATCAATTTCCCATTTTGGGCTTCATTTTAATCTTATTTTGATATTATAAATATGTATCATATAGAAAATCTTAGTAAATATCCCCAATTTGTTTCTTAGGTTGAATTCTCGAAATAGAATCATTGGATCAAAGGTTATGTATATTAAGACTTCTAAAATGTTTTACCAGCTGTACCACATTGTGAATTACTGTATGTTTCCCAAAGGTTTGGTTTGTCCCGGGCAGTGAGTGAGACAACCCAGAGACAGCCTGTGTTCCTTGAGGATGGCCCCACAGCACCTCCATCTCGAATGGTTTTCCAGAACTTTGTCGCATCCTTTGAGTGGCCGTGATCTTTGACCCTTGACCCTTTGCAGGGCGTGGTTTTTGCATCCAGGGTCAGTTACCGGAGCTGCCTCAGCCAGCAGAGCAGCAACAGTAGGGCTGTGTTTACCCTCTAGGCCAAGCCCTGCTTTAAGTCAACTCTAATGTGGCTTCATTTAGAACCACACTTCACCCTCAAGCGTGTGTGTATTCCTCCAGGCTTCTTCTAGACCAACATTAACAGATATAACTTAACAGATACAGATATAAACAAGTTTGCATGTTTATCAAGACCTGTTCTTAGACATTTCCAGGTGAATACAGCTTCCACTAGAGCACACAAAGGAGAAAGAAGACATGGAGATCGAGCCTCACTTCAGGAAGAAGCACAGGGACATCTGCTCTTTCACTAGCCTCTGGAAGAGTAAGATGGATGGCTGTGGCTGTGTGGTTGGCAGCTGGGCCCCCACCTACATGATGGGGCACTAGTAGATGTGAAATGTGCATAACGCACAGCCTGCCTCATGGCCACTAC